AACTGGGTGTTTCCCCTGCCTACAATGAGGCTTGGCACTTGCCAGTGCTGCCTCCAGAAAATTGGTGAGCAGAGCGTGCTGACTTGTGTCTCTGCCTTGACACACCAGGGAAGGGTCAAACCACATGAATGAGGGCTTTCATGGGCAGCTACAGGGACCCCATTTTTTTCCTTATAGAAGCCCTTCACTTGGTTTCAGAAGTGACAATCAAATGTGAACTTTCATGGTTTATTTATAGCTTTGCCTTACAGAGAGAAAGAAAAGAAGTGATTAAAATGCTATTTTACAAAATATTTTTGTTTTTAAAAAGCTTTCATTGTGTGGGCAAAAAGGAAAAAGAAAAGTCACTCTATTCATTGTGCCGTCTAGACTCAAACAAAGAGGGTAGCGTGCTGCAAATTAAGATTGTCCGGCCCCTGCCTGCTTACAGAAAGTATTAATTTGGAGTCCAACTTCAAATAAACCCTTCTGAACAGAAATATATTGTGGGGGTGACTATATTTAGCATAGACCAGCATTTCCATAATAAGTTCATATTGTTATGCTGTGGTAATTTTCAGACTTAATACAGCCAGTGTGTTCATGAGGTTTCAGTTTTGTGTTAATTATCTGGAGAAATTGGAAAACTCAGCAGAGTCTGTGATGACAGGGCTGGTTCTCTGGGCATTCTCCATATTGCCTCAGGTGCCCGCAACAGCCTTTCGAAGACAAAGAAGGGGAAGAGAAACCTGCACCAGTTTGACTACCTTTGTAAGCATAACATTTTTTTTAATATGATGTGTTATATTTGTATTTTTTACAACAATAAAATCAATATATGCCACTGCAGAAAAATTTTTTAAAGTTGATAAGAAAAAAATTGTTACCCATGCTCTTGAAATTATTAACATTTCAATTTATTTTCATCCAGCCTTTATTATGCATGTGTAACTTGCCTTTAGTGACTTTGTAAAACAAAAACTTGTGTGGCACAATTCCCACTATTCTTGAGACAGTTGAAAAACAACTTTATTTTTGCCCTCATTGTGCCTGTCTATTTGTGCAATAGAGCTAGCTTTTCCCTGTCCTTGTTAAAAATTCTAGTAATTCCATTATCTTCCTAGATAAGAACAAAATCACTTAGGGAATAAAGATTTTATGGACCCTTTAAATTGTGAGTCATAGCCAAAATTCAGAAATTCAAATATCAAGGAATATATGAAAATAAAGTTAAGATGTCTCCCAATTTCCCCAGCTGGGCTTTGCACAAATGAGAAGTGGTAGCTCTGATCAGATTGGTCTCAGAAGCCTCTATTATAGAATTTTTTGGAGACCTTCTAACTCAGAAAGCCTGTCATCTGCAGTGTCTCTGTCCTTGTATTCCAGCAAATGGCTTATTTTTAATTCCTTGGAAATCCTGTAGTTCACCTCCAGCCTCCATAAGTGGCCATAGTGGACAGGATCTAAGACAACTCAAGATAGTCCTCTCACATGTAGGCCCAAGAGGTCTGTTGGAAATAGCCATGCCTTTGGGACAGGCTGTGGCAATGTTGGCTGATCCCAGTGCAATCCATCCTTCATTTCCTCATGGAAGCTGCCAGCCTGCCCATCTTCCCAGCAGGAATTGCTCAGAGTCCACTGTGCACCACAACCATAAGGACCTGCATCCAGGTCTCCATTTGTCTCAGTGGAGCCCTACTGCCTTAACTCATGAAGAGAAGACCTCCCCTGACACCTTGCTCTGGAAGAGGCCTGATGCACAGTGCACCAACAACTCTCCCCTGAGACTCTTGTTGATCTTCCACATGGATGAAAGATTTCAGAGAGTTGATTTACAGGTCTTCAACAACTCTTTCTACAAATTCTTCAGGGTGGTCTGTTTCCAGCTCACTGGGGTATCTTATATCTGTCATCTTTAGATCTCAGCCAAAACTTCCATTTTAACATTCTGTCACGTGCATTATCCTTCAGTTCATTCATTCCATCAACATTCCCTGAGTGCGTGTGATATGCCAGATGCTGAGTTTGGCAGTGAAAATAATTATAACAATTCCTGCCTTAAGGAACTCATAGTCTAGTTGGGGAGACTGATGTGTTAACAGAAAATTATGGCACCATGTCATAAAGATGGAGGCACAAGTTGCTGTGGGAGGAAATAGCTCAATCTAGGGGGCAGGCAGGCAATGAAGATGAGTCAGAGAAGTCTTCCGTGGACAGGGAGCCTGACCTAAGTTTAACTTTTAAATGGATTATTTTTCAGAAACAAAATAAACTCCTTTTAAATCTTCTAAATCTCTATTTTGAACATTTATTTCACAATAATTTATTTTTAAAGCAAGCAAAGGTAATGTGAAGAAGGACGAGGGAATTCCCTTATGTCTGACATTTGTCCACACATCTGTTACAGTAGGAAGGAAAATAACATTTACAGAGTACCTTCTATAATACAAGTTTCCTGGATCCCACCCATGAAGGCAATCCTGGAATGTTGTCTCAAGTCTGGAACCCAAGCAAAACCAGGAGGGGCATGCTCCCAGGGCATTTTCAAGATTCAGACGTGGTGAAAGAAAGTTAGGGTCCCCTCAGAAGCCCAGCAGAGGAAGAAGCAGGAATGAAATGAGAATGAGTGGCAAAGCTAGTGCTGGGCATTGTGGAGGACACCTCAGCAACACGTGCGTGGATCTTGTTTTAAGGAAGTCAGAACTTAGACTGTGAAGGAAAATGTTCTGATATGATGGGCTGAGCAGAGCTTTTAACCTAGCCTTAAGTGGAGCAGAAGCAGCCTAATAAAATGTCCTTGCCTGCTCACTGTGATGACTCTAGGCAGCCATTTTGTTTGTTTATTTGTGTCTTGTCTCTGGTTTTCTTGTTAATAGTTTTTCCCTCATTTTTTATATCTCTGTCATTTCTTCCTGCTCTCAATGTGCTTGCTACCCTTAGCAGTTCTGATATCCCACTCAGCACTTTCTCATCCTTTGAGGGCTGGGAACCCAGATAACCAGTCCAGATTGTTCATGCTGTCCTTGCAGAAGAATTGGCAGAGCATTGAAAAACTGTGGAAGTTAGCAGATTAAAAGGAATTGGGGGGCTGGGGATGTGGCTCAAGTGGTAGCACGCTCACCTGGCATGCGTGCGGCCCGGGTTCAATCCTCAGCACCATATACAAAGATGTTGTGTAAGCCGAAAACTAAAAAATAAATATTAAAAATTCTCTCTCTTTAAAAAAAAAAGGAATTGGGTTTCCTTGAGTAATTATCAAAAAGAATTCTATTCACTTCTAGCATAGTGCTTATACTACTCTCTTTTGATCACAGCCAATGTCTTTTCCTTTCTATAGCGAGCTCCTTGATGGAAGGAAGGCTATGCAGCGTGCCTCTCCATGTTTCATGTGTGGAGTGCTGGGCTGGGCGCATGAAAGGGTTTATTGACTATGCAGGAGGTGCTGAGATTCAGCAATAAGCAGACCAAGTCCCTCCCTTCTGTTTACATTTCAGTAAGGACAAGAAAATGAACATGTAAACCAGTATAGGCATGGCACATCAGAAGGCAATTAATGGTATGCAAACCAGTCAATCAAAATAACATGGCAAGATGGTCCGAGGACACTTGGATATGTTTTAAAGATACCCAATGTTCTCACATTTTGTATGATAGTCAGCTTTTCACATTTTTTTCCTCCCCTGGCTAGTATTGAGTTTATCTAGGAAAAATAAATAAACTATGTCCTTTGCAAATCTGGATCCCTAGCAGTATCTGGTACACAGAGAGTAATTAATAAATGTATGGCATATGATGTGGCACATGTGGCTGGGCGCAGTGGCACGTACCTGTAATCCCAGAAGCTCAGGAGGCTGAGGCAGGAGGGTCACAAGTTCAAACCCCAGCCTCAGCAAAAGTGAGGCACTAAGCAACTGAGTGAGATCCTGTCTCTAAATAATATACAAAAAATAGGGCTGGGGATGTAGCTCAGTGATTGAGTGCCCCTGAGTTCAATCCCCGGTATTTCTCACTGCCACTCCGCCAAGAAAAAAAAAAAGAAGTGGCACATATGAGCCCAGAATGACCACATCCTTAAAATAAGAGTTCAATAGCTGTAGCTAAGACAGGACCTGTTCTGTGAAGTGCTGTCAGGCCATTGCTTGCTATCTTCCTGAGTCATTTCTATTGGACTCCAAAGTTTGGGTTCATGCCATATCTCCTTACTTTCTCACGACCTTAACAGCCTTGGGAGTTGCCCAAGGAAAACGAAAACTTTCATCCACATAATGGAGCCAGCACAGTCTATGGTGATTTGAATGCTGTATATACCATACCACATCCTCTGGATGCAATGAACTGTTACCTACCTACCTGAGTGTTCCACAGTAAAAACACGGATGTCCTGGAGTAACATTCCAGAACTCAGGTCAGTTAGACTCAGTCCAGAGGTCTCACATCTGTATCCACAACTTAATAGATTGGGAAAGGAGCTGAAAGTGAATTGAAGAGTTAAGTAGGCAATATACTTAGTGGCTGATTATATGACTTTCTTATGCCCTTGGGTCCATGTAGTCAGGAGGGAAGGTAACTTATGCTGATCCTTGGAGGCAATCACAGAGGTGCTTGGCTTTCTGGGTAGTTTGCCCTAGAGGCCTCAACACACAGCTATTTTTTAAGCTCAGGATGTGTGGTCATAGGTTTAACCTTAATATTCCTTAGATCTTAGAAAGGTCCTTCTTAGAGGATCAATTCAAGGGCGGTAAGGGTAAAAGTAAACCAGAGAGAGGGCTTTTTGAACAATCCAGGTTAGAGATGAAAAAGACCTCTATTAAGACCTCTATTTCACTGGTAGTGAGTTTGAAGATAAAAAGACAGTTGTGCAAGTGCCTTTTTCTATTGGCAGAAAAAAACAAGTTGAAAATCATACTGACTGAATATTGTAAAGGGAAGTGAATTCTAATTCAAATGTCATTGCTTGTCACAATCCTTTCTTTGGTTTTAGCTTTCCAACCCAGCTATCTGCTTTGTTTTCCATTTAACAGGAGGCAATGGCAAGAATGAGCAAAGTCGGGAAAGTTGTGTTTCCGAGACTTGAGGATAAGAAGTAAGTTTATATTTCTTATATGTGCAGTGCTAAATAATGAGAACATACAAATGCTTACAACTATGGATCTGAAATAAACTTTGAATGTTAGCCAAATCAATTCTTTCATTTAATAGTTGAGAAAACTAACTCCCAGAAAGATAAGGTCACTTTCACTTACTTAAAATTCAAAGCTAGGTATGGCCAGATCTGGTGTCTGATGCAAGCTTCTGAACTCTCAGACCAATTTATTTTTCTGGGTCACTGGCAACAAATCTGGTCTTTTCTGTTCTTAAAAAAAAAAAAAAAAAAACATCTTTTATATCTCCCTTCAAAGAACCCAGTAGCATCCATCCATTTTTTGTATCACTTGACATTGAGGACTTTTAAATGAGCTTGATCAGTGTTGTAAATCTTAAGTCACCACAATATTCATTCACTGAGTCTCTGCTATATTCAAGCCTCTAAGTTAAGCAACATGATTTAGAGGGGAATAAGATACAGTCTGATTTATGCACATAGGTCCTTTCAAAACAAAGGACTATGTTCTGCCATAGAAATGTTACCATGTGACAAAACAGCCCAAAGAAGAAAAGAATGTGACCTTATAAAGGTGAAGAAAACTTTTTGAGAAAAGATTAAGTCTCATTTGACATGAAATGCTTAAAAGAAATCGTAGACAGGCCAAGATAGAGAAGAACATTCTTGATAGAGGGGATGACATATGCAAAGATATAAAAATGGAACAGCATGGTATGTTGAAGTCACTATAAACAATTCATGATGCTAAAACACAGAATATGAGATGGGGAACCACAGGAGGTGAGATGGGAGGAGGAGGTCAGCTCAAAGTAGGCTGTGCTAAAGACCGTGAACCTCATGCTACAGGCAAAACAGAGATACTTAACCTTAAACGGTGGCTAGATGTGGTCAGATGCAGATCTTAGAAAGGTCCTTCTTAGAGGATCAATTCAAGGGCGGTAAGGGTAAAAGTAAACCAGAGAGAGGGCTTTTTGAACAATCCAGGTTAGAGATGAAAAAGATCTCTATTAAGACCTCTATTTCACTGGTAGTGAGTTTGAAGATAAAAAGACAGTTGTGCAAGTGCCTTTATAATTTTAGGAAATTATTTTTTGTTAAGACATAAATCCCACCACACAGTGTAATAGACACGCAAAGGTACAGATTCCACCAAAACATGTTGTTGAACAGTTTTGGAAATGTCCCTGAAAAAGTGATCCAATTTCTTTTCATTTTCTTTTTTGTGCTCAGATGGAGTCAGGCTATTAAAACCCCTGAATATAAACCTCTCTCTAAACTCTGGGCTCAGAGGAGCAGAGGGCTCAGAGGAGCTTCCATGGGGAAGCTCAACCCAGGAACATGGAAAAGGCTGAGTTCCTGATGTACTGAGTTCCCAATGCATCCCAATGTAGGATGCTCTCCCTCTTTCTGCTCTCCTCATGGCGGCTGGAATATCCCTTGTTTTTTGAAATGAGAAACAGATTATCTTCTCCATCTCTTCCCTGACCCTCTCAAGACTTTCGAAGGAGGCCTGTTTCTAAGTTTTTGGTAAACCCCACGTGTTTCTTTTGAAAGAATCTGGCTTCTCTCTGGCAGCTGGGAGCTGGGCACCTATGAAGGAGGCACACATGGTGCTGCAGCACCATCTTCAGGTGGCCCAAAGATTTGCACATGGAAAGCAGGAACCCGTTTCCTTCTGTCTCATCACTTCCGATCACATTAATTTAACTACACGGGACATTTACTTAGATCTGTGCCACACAGAAGCAACTGACTGAGTTCAGGAGAATCTGGAAGAGAGTGGATTCATCTGACTTAAAAAGTCTAGATCACACAGTCTAATCTAATGACTACAATTCAATTAGCAATTTTTCAGGATGATTCCAAATTTTGTCCTTATGCTCAACAAATTTATACATGACTTTAGAACTGTCACTTAAAAGTATCTTGAAAAAAATGTGTATTAAAAGACTATCAACAAATTTACACCATGTGTGGTGGCACATGCCTGTAATTCCAGTGGCTTGAGAGCTGAGGTAGGAGGATCACAAGTTCAAAGCCAGCCTCATCAACTTAGTGAGGCCCTCGACAACTTAGCAAGACCTCATCTCGAAATAAAAGATAAAAAGGGCTAAGGATGTGGTCTAGTGGTAAAGTGCAATCTCCAGTACAAAAAAGAAAATTAACAGGCAACCCACATAATGGAAGAAAATCTGTAAATTATATATCTGATAAGGAAGTAATATCCAGAAAAATACAGAACTCCTAAAACTCAACAACAACAACAACAAAATCCAATTCAAAATGAATAAAGGACTTGAATGGATGTTCCTCCAAAGAATATATAAATAACCAATAAGCACATGAAAAGTTATTCAACATTACTATTAGGGAAATTCAAATCAAAACTGCAAGATGCCACCTCACACCCATTAGGATAGCTACTGCAAGCAACAATAACAATAAAATAATAAGTGTTGAGGATATGGAGAAATTGGAAGCTTTAAGCATAAAATGGTATAGCTGATATGAAAACAAATGTGTCTGTTCTCCAAAAAAATGAAGAGAATTAACATATGATATAGCAATTCTGCTTTTGGTATATGTCCAAAAGAACTGAAAGCAAGATATGAAGACAGATCTATATACCCCTGTTTACAGCAGCATTATTCACAGTGGCTAAAGCCTTAAGAACAACTCAACTGATCCATCAGTGGATTAATGTATAAGCAAAAAATGATATATACATATAACAGAATGTTATTCAGATTTAAAGAGGAAGGAAATTCTTTGAGGTTAAGACAAAATTAAATAAGATAATCACAAAAAGACATACTGTATGATTTACCTATATGAAGAATAAGGCCAGTGAACAAAGTTGTCGCAAAGCCATTAGTATTAAATTTGGAAATCCTTAGACTGGTAAGATAAATCAGTGATAGAGCACTTACCTAGCATGTCAAAGGCCCTAGGTTCTATCCATAGCACCACAGAAAAATAAATATAAAATTGGAAATCTTAAAGTATGTGCAAAGATTACTGACCTTAGCCCCATTTTCCCAAATCAGAAAATCCATATTATGTGTGTATTGCCCAAAATTTATATTATCATAGAAGATCATTAGAAGCAGAGAATTGTCCCTAAAAAATCATTCTATGAGTATTGATTTCTGGAGACTCATAGAATTGGTTTTAGCGATATCTACATAACTAGATTGATGAAAATATTAGATTATTAATTACTTTAAAAGTAGCAACTAGCACTTATTATGAGTCAGGCATTGTTCTAAGAGCTTTGCATATATTGCCTCATTTAATTCACACAACAGTTCTCTTGAGGTAGATCCTGTAATTATTCCCATTTACACAAGAGGAAATGTAGGCACAATTGGATTAAGTACCACGCTCTGGGTCACACAGCAAGCCATGGGCCATGCTGAGATTCATACCCCAGCTTCAGAGTCTCCTCCACCCACCCCTTAACTGTGTGTTTGGCCCTATCACAGCTCCTACACTACCAGAATGCTTAAGGTAGAAATGTGTGACAAGTAGAAGCCTGTGTGCATCCAAAGTTTCTCTTACTGCTTGTCTCCCCCAATTCACAAGCTTCCTCCAGAGCTCCCTCATCAGGACTCCTTTTGGAATACCCCAGCATCTACCAAACCATGTTGAACTGGATTTATCAACCCTTATCCCATGTCAGTACCTCCAAGAAAAGGAGTAAGGACAAAGTTGCAAGGCTTCAAGTGCCATATTTGTCCAGGCCGCAGTTACCTTTCAGCATTGTGATACAAAGCAGCTCCAGCTGCTCTGACATCTGACTCATAGCCAGCACCAGTTCTGACAGGTCTCACCCAAAGAGTCAGCCAGAGAGGACAAGGAGATTGAGGTCCATGACCAGATGCCTGGAAGGCAGGGCAAGCAGCAAGAAAGTCCTTACACATTGTTCTCGTGGGGTTTCACAATGGCATAAAGCAGTTTACCCAGGACTTCTAGGTGCAGGATCCATAAGAGTGATAAAACATTCAGTCTCATCTCTGGTTAGGCTATGGTTTTACACCAGATCAGTGGCTAGGCACATAGCTGAAGTTGGGAATGTGAAAGGCTCTGTGCTAAGCCTGGGCCTTTTGGTACATGCAGCAGAGGCTTTGAAGTCAGACCAATCTGACTTGGAATTCCAGCTCTGCTGGTTTTTAGTTATAGTATTTTGTTTATACCCCGTGAAAAAGATGACCTTATCTCAGAAATGGAAATAATCCATGTAGCACTGCATGTAATTTATAGATAACAGGCATGACACAGACTAATCTATTGCCCAGGGTGCTGTAAGCATTCAGAACCTGGAAGGTGTCTGTGTAATTGTAACAGATGTATTTCCATATTTCTGAATGCAAAGCAACACTGCTTGATAAAGTCATCTTGAGACTGTTAAACATATTCATCTCTCTCCCACAGATATTATGACAAGAAATATCAAGTATTCCTGAAGCTGGTTGAACACCAGAAGGAGTATTCAGCAATCATGAGTGGGGACTGAACAGACACCAATGCCATTAGGACCTCTGTCCTTGCATCTTACATTCAAGACCCTTTAGGTATCATCTCATCATTTCTGTATTATCTTCTAATAAAAATTTGGATATGTGCAACCAGAACTGGAATCTCCCATTTCAAAATACCACTCTTATCTAGTTGGCATTTTCTGTATAAGCACTGTATGCCAGAAGTCTCATGTGGGGTCATAGGATCTCACATAGGACTAGACCCTGGAGACCATTTAATCCAGTGGAGATTTGTACTTAATTGATTCTATAACCTACAGTAAATGAAAGACATTGCTTTAGATAGAACATTTAATGTATGTTCTCTGTTCCTTATGGCATTCTCCTTCTTACATAGGATACTGTCTAGGGTCAAATATTGCTTTCAAATGCAAAAATCATCATTTTGCAATCATTATATTAAAGATAGGGATAGGCAAGGACATCAATGGATCCAGGAGGAAATTTTGATGAGTAACAGGATGTATGCATGTTCTTAAAATGTCTCTTCACAGATTGTTTATTAGTTACAAGAGGAAAAAGAATGTTAAAGATACAGGGAAGAAACAGGACAACATCTTGATTGGATGATCCAAATTAACTTCAGATGGGCAAATAGACATCATGTGCCTCCAGATGTGATAGCATGGAAAGAAATGGCATCACTCAGACTGGGAATGCACAGCCTGAATCTAATCATAAAGAAATATCAGAAAAACCCATCCTGCATTCTTTTTTCTTTAATGGACTATATTCTTCAAAAATGGCTATGTCATAAAGACAAAAGCTATGGAAAGTTTCCAGATTAAAGCAAACTAAATAAACATGAAGGCTAAAAAGATTTTGGGGTAGACAAGTGTTTGCAAAACTATAGTTGTTTCAGTTGATACAAGAGCAAACACCTAAACACACACATATACACATATTCTCATTCACACATTGTTTCAGACCCAAGAATTAATGTTGATTCGGGAGCTATTACAGTTCAGGTGAGTTTGGGCATAGAATATGCTGAGGCTTCAGCAAAGTAAGACAGCAGACAGAAAAGAAAAATCCAATGGAATGCAATCAACAAATATCCTTTGGTACTTTCTGTGTGCCGGCATTATGCTAAACACAGAGGTACAGGAACAAATAAAACTTGGTTCCTACAGTCAAGGAGCTCTTGGTCTAGTAAGATGTAACCAGGTAAATCAACAACCTTGCATTTTAGAAGGTGCTGCAATGAAGGAAACCACTTGCTCTATGGAGCAGTCAGAAAAGGAGGCAGAAGAAAATGAAAAGCAATCTGGCATAACAGCTGGATTCACTTCTTTCTTGCTAACTGACTTGGAGAAAGGTCCTTTGTAAGCCTCAATTTCCTTATTTTAAAATCTATGTATTAACAGTACTTACTTTACATGTTCTAATGAGGATTAAGTGAGTTCATGCATGTATGGCACCTAGCACAATTGCCTGGACCAAACCTGTCTTATTCTAGGGCCCGGCTGCTAGAAGATGCTCAGAATAACAGTAGTGGACACTGAGGATGACCACATGCAGTTGTGAAGGGCAGCACCACAACAGCATTGTACAATATCCAAAGGATATGAGATATCCAGCAGGCCCAGCAGCAGGAGGAAGCGTAGTTCATACATAGCTAGACCCCAGTTAGAGCTTGGGCTGGGGAGGAGAAAGGATGAGGAGTACCTCACAGAAGAAATAAGATGCAGCAGGATCTAGGCAAGATGTTAGGACCAGAATCAAACCAGCTTCCACTGCTAAAGCCAATCAGTTATTTTTTTAATATATTTTATTGGTTCTTTTTAGATCTACATGACAGTAGAATGTATTTTGACATATCATACATACATGGAGTATAACTTCCATTCTTGTGTTGTACATGATATGGAGTTACACTGGTTGTGTATTCATATATGAACATAGGAAAGTTATGTCCAATTCATTCTACTGTTAAAGCCAATCAGCTCTGACTCAGAATCCGGGGCAAGCCTGGGCCAGCTTTCATAAAGCACCGGTGGACACAGTAGCGCTGCCTGTTAGGAAAGGTGGGGACACAAGAATGAATAATTACCAACTATTTTCCAAGTCCTCCCTGTTTGTTCTTTCCAACCCTTACCACAGTATTGTGAAATAGAAAACACTCACCTCACAATCTAGGGGAGAAACCTGAGGTTTAAAAAAGATAAAACAGGTTGTCCAGAGTCACTCAGGCAGTGATGGAGATAGGATTCCAATTCACATCTGTGTCAGTGCAAAGCTTCAGGGGTCAACAGCTGGAGAAGACTCCTGACCTATCACCTGCTTTTTGGTTACAGGTGATAGGTCAGGAGTCTTCTCCTGACCAGCCCGATGTGCTGGACAGAGGGAAAGTCTAAAAGATCCACGTTAGTTAATCTGTAAACCTCAGTCAGATCATCCTGCATCCCAGGGTTAGTGGTAAGGTTCAGTAAAAAACTGTATAAACCCTGAGCATAATGTATTGCCATCTAACTGAACTGGTGACTTATGCTGGATTCACAAAATCTGACTACCTCAATAACTGATAAAACAGCGAAGAAAGCACACAAGCACACAAAAATACCTTTTCAAAATCCGGGATGGCTCTCAACATTAGGAGTCAGTTGAAAAGAGAGAGAGAGCTACCTGAACTCTTTATTCTTTCATACGGAGGACACACAAAGGGAAGTTAATGGAATGTTTTTCCAAATAAGGCAAAGGGTCAGGTTTCAGAGGGTTGAGTCTAGCTTCATGATGTCTGGTGGTCAGTAGACTGATTGACATCTTGGCAAGTCACACCCACATCTCAGGTGCTGTGTGGGATCAAAAGGCACAGCTAGCGAAAAGGACACAGACTTGCACTGTTCAGACAGAACAACAACATCAGTCCAGTCCACTTGTGCTCTCAAAATGCTCACAGCTCACACACAGCCCATGGCTGGTCCGCGACAATAATGTCTTGCAGGTAATAGACACTCTACTAACATTGTTTCTACATAGTTCTCTTTGTGCTTCCAGGAAAATCTGTGGGACATCCCCCCCTCCAAAAAAAAATTCTCATTCTCACTGTAAAACAGTGTTTGGGGAAAAATGGAAACATCTGTATAGATTTCTATAACACTATGTAACTGAATAACAAACATCATAATGACTCCAATACTCACCTTCTCGTGCTGGGAAAGAAGGCTTTATTTAAGCACACATGTAAAGTATATTTAGCTTTTATGACTAAGAATTCCATTGTGGCCAGTGTGGCTTGTGGGATTTTTGTTTTGTTGCCTACTGAAAGCTTTTCTTTCAAGTTGAAGCCAGCCTTACTTAGCAAATCATTTTGCCAAGGAACACACTACAGGATTTTAACTTTGACCAAACACACTTCCCATATGTGAAGAATATAAATGTGGCATTCTAAGAAGCCAAAGGGAACAAAAGCTGGGGAAGGGAGATGGGGAAGAAAACACAAGAAGGACAAAATGGTGTGACGTGCTACAGATGTATAGTAAACAATATGACCCAATGCTGGAGTTAGCCAGTCTAGATGAGGCATCTGGAAGGGATGCCCCCTCTCAAGGACTCCAGATCAAGCAGTTGGTCTTTATATTCAGAGCATGGTTCCATTGTTGCCAGGTGAATTAAGGAATATAAGTCTCAAAGACATCCCTGGAAACTTCCATCTTTTACTAGGTCCAAGTCAGCAGGCAAGGGTAGCAAGCTGGGATTCTGCTTTAATAATAACAGGGTCTGCTATTTCTCACTGCCCTGAGGATAATCAAGTCATTCTGGTTCACTTAGTCCCTTGGCCACTGGCCTGTGAGCTGTTGGAGGACACAGACTCTCTTAGGACCTTGTTCCCTGCACTTAAACAGTTCTTGATTCACAATGGGTGCTCGACCAGTGAACACATACACAAACACAAGATATTTTTCTGCAAAAAGAATCCCAGAAGTAAAAAATATCAAGGAGCTCTCACTTTCAGGTCAAACAATCTCTGGTATGTGTTAATGTGCCTTCATTTAACCAACCGTCAAAAACTTTAAAATGTGATTTGGTCACTTAGGGTTACAAAAATCATGCCTTGTATCTAATGTCTTGCTTTTGGTTTTTTTATTGCCTACGTTAGTTACACACATGATAAACACACTCATTTTGGTTTGGTTTGTAGCTCAAGCTCAGAAATTCTTTGCAAATTTGCAATGCTGTTACAGATCATTTCCTGCATAATGTCTTATGGGAAACCAACTGCATCCTTGTTCAGAAATACCCATTGTTCACTGGGGCTTTAGTACAAATACTTTTAGAATTCAGGACGTAGTTACAAATAATTACCATCAAATAATTTAAAATGAAGGACATTATCGCTAAACAAGAAACTAATGACTGAGCAGAGCTGTGTAATGTAATTATACTTAAGATGGAACTTCTGATGGATTACAGAAGAATCTTTGTGCTGTCTCGTGTCTCCATAAATATACTTAACTGCTATTGACAGTAATAGGAAGCCTCTTGAATATAAAAAGCTTTTTTTTCCCCTTTTATGATTTCTTAAGGGAGAAATTAAAAAGTACATCTTTAAGAAAGGATGTTTCTCTCAGGACTCCTGAATATTTGGCAGTTCTATTAAATTTGTAACACTAAAGTAACTTAAATAAAAACAAAGACTTCTGCTAATAAAGTCAGGCTTCTCAATTTAGCATTAACTCACCCATTAATTTTGTGGTCAATTTCCATTCTGCACAGAAAATCATTTAAAATTGCTATTAGCATAAATGCTTCTAAAGATCTAATTTTTATTTGCCTAAGTCATGCCTTAAGCCTGGATTAGAAATGTTTTTCTTATTAAAATCTAGGCTGAGACTGATTCCTTACTGTACAATTTTAATATGTGCTTGAAATGCAAAATGTTTTATTCATTAATGTCTGTTATTTAACCATAATCATGCCTAAATGATGTCTCCCATTTGAATATTTCTTTATTCTCTTTATTCATTGCACATACATTACCTTTTCTGCTTCTCATAGTAAGGTGAGGTAGGCCTTAAAGAGTGGGATCTCACTTTACAAACACACAAAAAAAGAACACATCTCCAAGAGTTTAAGTAATTGGTCCAAGATTA